ATAGCTAAGTGGTGCCAGATGCTGACCAATTAACCTTTATAAAAGAGAATTAGGCTCATTTCATGCGGTTCACCTTCAGCTGGAGCCAAGACACGTGATGAAGCTGTATGCAGTCCAACATATGCATTTGCTCATTTGAAGCCATGTAGATTAGTCCACAATATGCTGACATATTTCCAAAGCTCACAAAAAGGTTACAATGAGCTATGGCTGAGTAGGACTCTATGCTTCCATATATACAAATTAGTTATACACACACAGTAGCACCTGAATGCAAATCATTTTAACAGCTGGGAACTTTTAATAGAATGAAATCATTAATGTATTATAGTAAGCAAACTACCACAATTGCTACAGCAACTGCACGGCCTCTGAAAAACACAGAGAAATGTGTGTTTTGCTTTTGTTTCCCTTCAAGGTATGCTTTATGACCTTTCAGTGTATATAAGATATTCATGTTCTATTTGGCTTCTTCACATTCGGAATTAACACTTAGCCTACAGTAACGCTGGTGTCACGCATCGTTGAATGTCATTTGAGACCATTTCTACGCCACTAGAATTAATGGGAAATCTGGCATGTATGTAATTAACCAAGCAATACTTAAAGGAATACGTTACCCCTCCCAAATGAGCATTTGTGTGTTAATTAGTCATCCCATTTACATTCAATTCTAGAAAAACTTTTTTTTCTGCAAGCCTCCTAGCTGAACGAAGAACTCTAATTTATCCAGTTGTATGCTCAGTACTTCCAAAACAGACAGCTGTTTGTGATAGGGAACTGAACTGAAAGTGAAACTTATTGATGCACTGGAGTCACACAATGACACAAACCAACTGTTCAAGGCAGTGGTAGACCAGCAGCTCACCAGTTCAGCGAGGTAAAATCACTGGTTTTTACAATGGAGTCCGGCTTTGAAGAGAGCATAGATAGGTTTCACCTTTAGTTCAGTTCCCCATCAGAGAAAGCTGTGCTTTTGGGAAGTACTGAGCACATGACTGGATAAATGATTCTTGGATTATACTGCACAAGCTGTATGAGAATGTGTGAACAGATGTTTTGATATAGTTTTGCTGCTGTTAAACACAGAGCCCTATGACTTCAATCCATCAAGAATCGTCCTGTTTTTTTGGATTCTTCGTTCACATTGGTGGCATGTGGAATAGACAGATTTTCTTTCTGTATTCATGTAACATGTGGTGAGTTACTGATAAACACCATTTTGGGGGGTGAAGTATTCTTTAATATAGCGCTTATTGGTGAATTAGAATCACCAAAAGATGTTTTTAATATACATTTAGGCAACAAAATGGACAAGAAAGGTTCTTGCTTGTCCACTTGCATGCTGAATTTATGCTTTGGGTGCGTATACAAAGCAGTATACAAACCTCATTGAAATAAATTTAGGACACAGGCATGTCAATCAGGTTTCTCAGGTATTTTCCATACTAAAACTTTTATAGTAACTTCCTTAAAAGCTGCACGGACATCTAAGTGAAACTGAAAGTCAAGCATTCGTAGGTTCATTCTGCATCTTGAAAGGGTCAAGAAACAGAAGACTGAAGAATGTTTTTTCCCAGTTATCATTTCCCAGACAGCTTGGGATATTGTTTACAGCAATATTCTCCAGTGGATGCAAAGTCTCTGCCTTAATGCGCCTTATAACAAGAACACTGCATTTGGAGTTTGTGCAGAAACTGGAGCAACACTACTGGAATAAATTATCAAATAACAGATTGACACACACGTACCACTGACAAGTATGTAATTAACATTTTACCTAAATCAGCGGTCCCCACAACCATTCAGACTCAGACTGTACCTTACTGCTTTAAATTGCAGCTAAAAAAGTGCACTCAGAGAGGTAAGAAGCATTTGTTTTTCTCCTCTTTTGCTCTTTACATTGCCCTTCACAACACCATAATGCACAGTGAGTACCACTCAGTATTAGACATTAATAGCTAATGTAGTGCCTCTCTCCCGGTTGCCACAGTGATTTTATTTCTCTCAGCGGCAGGTGACACAGAGGTGGCTCTGGCTGAGGAAACACTGTTGGTCTTCCGATGTCAATTTGAGAATATAGCTCCCCATATTGCTCCGAGCTATGCTTTTATCCCAGTGTCACAGAGCTCTAGACTGTGCTTAGCGCCAGATTCCTTCTCTATTCTCTCTCTGTATGGGAGGTAGTCACATCACAGGAATAAAGAGGCACAGCAGCAACCGGACAAAACATTTCAGATGTGCAAAAACACGCAAGTATGCAGTGTTTCATGACAAATTAATAAAGATTTGAGTGCAAAATCAAAATGCAGCATGGTCCCAGTAAACAACCCGGGAGGATAAATTAGGCTACACGAAAACATGCACACTGCAGGACAAAGAGCTATAATAAAATGTCCTGATGTCATCATTTCAACATCAGAGCACTGATGCTTTTCAAAGTAATAGCCGAAGATTAAAACAACCATAAAATCTTTCTGGAAAACTTTGAAAAATCTATACAAGTCTTTTAAGAAAAATTGGCATCATGACATCACTTCACATAAAAGATGTCTTTTAAAAAAAAAAAAAAAACGTCAATCGAAAGATGTCAGCAAGTCCATAGCCCTGATTGCAGAGGACAATTCATATAAAGAAGAGGGACACGGGAAGAAAGGACCATCACCTGGAGATTTCTTATTGATGTGGGGAGCGGATAAAAGGCTGACATATTGTGGAGAGGAGGGCATGAGCTGGTTGAATACATCACAATAAGGTCCAATTATGTGGCACTACAAAACTACTGAAGAGAGGCTGTTATGAACCTCAGATTGATTGTATGAGATGCCTGTGCAATGTTGACAAAATAGGGGTTCCGTGGTCAAACGTTTGGGTGCTTGTCAGGACTCCAGTTTCGTCTAAGTGAAAAGATGGGATGGTGGAATTTGGGGACATCATAATAGACAAAGTAAAAGAAAACTAATGCTGGCCTCACACCAAAAAACTTCCCAAGCAATTTCCCAGGTGCATACAAATTTCCAATGTCAGAATAAAATTATGAGATTTTTACTTAAGTTGGTGCAAGCTCCCGTGATCTCGACCTTTTGGTGTAAGGTGGTCATAACACTCAGTCTGAGCCAAACATAAGCAGACAAATTAGACAGCAGACACATTAAATCAGCTCATTGTCTGTCTGTGGTTTAAAACTCATCAGTCACGTTGGTGAGTTGAGGATACTGACGGCACTTGGTATGAAGGACTTTTTAAATACATTTTTAGTTGCCAGAGGGACTCTACAGCGCCTCCCGCAGCTCAAGAGCTCAAACTGGCTAAACAGAGGGTGGGAGCCATCGGCCAAGATACTCCTTGCTTTCCTCCTCGTCCTGTCTGTAAAGAGTTGGTTCAAGGGCTTTTGTGGCTGGCCAACTATTTTACTTGCCATAGTTTCAATGAATGTACAGGTAAGGCGAGCGTACCAGGCAGGGAGGTGAAATGTTAAAACACTCTCAGCCATAGTTTTGTACACTAATTCTAAAATTTGCTGACTAACACCGAGGTCACCGAGTTGTTTAAGAAGATAAAGTTGCTGTGAGCATCTCTTGGAAATATACTCAGTATTTCCAGAGAAGCTCACATGGGAGTGCAGAACTCTACCAAGGTATTTAAAATTTTCCATAGTTTCAACATGAGTGACACTGGCTCTGTCTTCAGATCTTGTTTCATACACACACAAAAAAAATAATAAAATAAATTAAATCAATTTTATGCAAGTCTCTCTCTCGTTTTGATGTTCTCACAAAATCAAACAGGTTTAAAATTATTGTACGTTTTTAGTCTTGACACATTCAAATGCTCAAGTTCAATGACGTGAACATTGTCAACGACCAAAAGCTGCGCTCTCCCAAGCACCAAACATGAAGCAATGAACCGGGTAGACAGTAAACATGGAGGGGATTCTAGGGAGGTGCAAGAACGTGAACAAGTCTCGGTTCTCTTGGGCTGTGGAAAAGGAGGACAAACTAGTGGAGTTGCCGAGTGAACAAGAATCGGTGTTAAATTCGGCGTTATGTGATCCACCAACCAGGACATGTTTTAGTGAGGAATCTTAATTATTGAAATGGTTTGCCTCTTATTTCCACTGTCTCCTTCCACTGAAATGGCGGAGCTAAACAAAGTTTGTACGCAAATACAGTTTATCCTTATGATTATATTGATGCCGAATTGACAAGAATACTATTGACACATAGAATAATGTTTATTCGGACATGTTTAAAAGAAACACACAAGCTTTGGTTAGAAAAAAAAATAAAAAATAAAAATATAATGACGCCTTTTATCTTGTGTTTCTAGAGTTGCATGTTTTTGCAGACATATTTCATCATATTTATTAAAAGGTGGTTTGGCGTAATATTTACAAAATGATCTCAAAAAGAATCTCGCAGGGGGTCTAGAGTTATCACAGTTTTTCTAATTCAAGCATTGCAGGTGAGTATAAAGGCAAGTAGTATATATGTAGTCCTGTCCAGAGGTAGGTTTTATGTAGGAATATAGTCATTAAAATGAGTTAGCATTTGCCAACAGTATAACGTAAAAAGACGAGATTCACTGGTAGGTTTAAAGATTTGTATTGTCAAAAATGTGGACTTTCATGTAGAAGAGCTTAAATAATTTGACAAAAATAAATTGAAAGATGAATATAAATGTTTGTGGACCTCACAAATTAAAATCTAAGACTATTAAATGACTTTTGGGCCTAATGTTTCTAAAATTGAAGATGTATTGGAGGGTGTCAAACTTTAGTCTTAAAAATGTATTTTCAAAGTCGTCTTATGTAGGGTAGACATAAGGTTTCAGTGTCAGCGTTTGGTATTAAATATTCTTGCAAGATGTTACAAGAATACAGTTGTACTCACATCGCAACTCCCTTTCATTGCACATTGTGTATTGGCATACATGTGATAATAATGTGTGTGTGTGTGTGTGTGTGTGTGTGTGTGAGTAAACAAGCATTCAGGACTCACTTCAACCACAGGCTGCAACAGTTCTGTTTCGTCTCCCCTGGCATCCAGCGCAACCGCAACTGAGGCAAACGGACGACTGGCCATCTGCTGACGCTCTCTCATTAGTTGCTGTAAAATGAAACACAGATGAGCTAAATGAAGAATTTAATCTAATCAAACAACAGACACATATAGAGAGGAGTGAGACATATGTTACAATGAAATATATGAATACATATACAGCACTAAATTATTTACATGTAATATACATCATTAATATAAAACCCCTCAAACATGTTGCATTTTTAACGAAGCTGAAAGGACAAGAAACACATTTTTAATTTCAGCCCTTCATAATGAAAAACTTACAAGAAGTCCTCATTATCTAAAGCTATCACTGTTTTTAGATTATTATTATTTAGAATTATTTTGTGTCCCACCACTACAAATAACACAAATAGTAACAGACAAATTCATTTCATATTAAAACGGACAAAATGAAAACTGTTAATACTGATCAAGCAGCCAGCAACATTATATGCACAGTAATTCATTTTCCACATACAGCACACCATCACAGAGAAACATACAAACAATTCTCTGTGGCGTGTTTAGGTTTCTGCCCAGGAGTGACACTATTTCTGTAGCACAGACTGAACAGAAAATAGCCTCTCTTGTTCCCCCACTAATCAATATTGTAAAACAACTAGCGCCATACTTTCATCAGCAACGCAGTGTCTGATCAATATCTAAACAGGCCGCCATTTTAGCGCCAAGGACATCACTGATTGGTATTGGATTTGTGATGAGCTTAAGTGTGCTGCATTAGGATCTAATTGTACTTCAGATTACTAAGCACATCAGGCGGTTGTGATGATCGGCCCCATGACCTGCCCTTCCTCTGCACTGCTCTGAAGTTCAATAAATATGGCTCTACGTGTGCACAAACATACAAAAGCAATACTTTATATACACGTTATATAGTGCAATTAAATGGATGTTTTGGGATCTGTAACATCAAACACTTGGTGTCTCTGGGGGATTTTCAATCTAATGAACATAGAAATGGTACACACAAATGTAATTGCTCAACCACAGCCTAGGAATAGTAACTAAACAAGACAAGCGTGTCAAGTTAGGATTCCTCCACATGTAGAGGTGGTGTGCATGCAGCTATAGTAAGAATGATATCCATAATTTAATGAGTTCAGAGAGAAGTGTATTTTGTTTTAGCTTTTCCAAATCCAAAGACACAAGAACAAAAGTATAAGGAATTATATAAACCATGTTTAACATGTCTGGCTAACTAGTTTACTCCTTTAAGTTTAAGTAGTAACCCACTTTCACTTTCAAGGTCAAGGAGCATTTCATTAGCTAACTACATTTTACATTTTCGTCATCATTCTTGTGATATCAGGACTAACTACCTCGACACTACAATACAAATAATGGCATTATTTCCCTGTCTTTTACACAGGATATGGTGAGGATGCTGACTTTTTGCCTGGGAACTGTTAGCTTGAGCATCGGCCTTTAGCACAATATCATGCGTCATGTATATAATGTGCATATTTAAAGGTATACTATAGAGGATTTCCCTTAAGAACAATGGATAGTCTCATACAGAAATAATCGCTCTCTGATTCTGTCCTCTGCCTATGTCTCAGCTCAATTCATAGGGACTTGGCTTGAGAACCAGAGGGTCGCCGGTTCAAGTAGCTGTATGCACCAAGTATGGAGCATGGACTGTTAGCTGGAGAGGCACCAGTTCTCCTCCTGGGCACTGCTGAGGTTCCCTTGAGCAAGGCACTGAACCCCCAACTGCTTGGAATGCTTGTCCAAGAAAACCCGCTTGCTCTGACATCTCTGTATTTAATGCATGTATAGGTCCTGTTTGTGCATGTGTGTGTATTTCAGGCTTGTGTGTGTATGAAAAAAATGTATTTCCCCTCAGGGATTAATAAAGTATATTTTCTACTTTCTTATTTTCTTCATTTTTGCTGTGTTTGAGATATTTCAGGGCACTGTGAGCAGGTGAGGTTGGTACTTTATAAAAAGGTAGCAACCAGGTGCCAGACTGTAAGCAGTACACATCCAAGAGGATGCTACAAAAGTTTTGGACACAGCGCAGAAAAATGCAAATACTGCAAGGCAAAATGCTAAGCGAACAAACTTGGAGTTGGCTTTCACTTGCGCTGGCGACAACTCCAGCCTGTACACGCCTGTCTCGTTTTAAAATTTGTCCGATGGTGACGTTAAGACGACAGCCAGAGACAGTGTTTTTAATTCGCTTGGAGCTAATGATAGCTTGAGAACCTAGCTAGCAACAGCTTATACAAATGACCGTTTTCATTTCAGCTGATGGTGATCAGCTATGAATAAGTAGCCTGCTTTTATCTATTGGTATCTAAATTCAAGGAGCCACTGTTTAAAAAATGACTAAGGATATCATGTGGTGAATCTGCCACAGTTGTAAACTGCATGTGCACCATGTGAGAATGGGAAGCTTGAGAGGCAACAGTAACTACAGGCGTTCGGCCACATGAACGGTCAATTACCCAGGAAACATTCATTCATTCATTTTCTGTGACTGCTTCTGTTTGGGGTCACAGGGGGGCTGGAGTCTATCCCAGCTGACATTGGGTGAGAGGCAGGGTACACCCTGGACAGGTCACCAGACTATCACAGGGCTGACACATACAGACAGACAACCATTCACACTCACATTCACACCTATGGACAATTTAGAGTCACCAATTAACCTGCATGTCTTTGGCCTGTGGGAGGAAGCTTGAGTACCCAGAGAAAACCCACACTGACACAGGGAGAACATACAAACTCGGCCCCCCACCCTGGGATTCGAACCCCCTTTAACAGAAGAAGAAAATCTCTGATTTCTCAAGTACACTAGACTGTTTAAAGGACAACTTTGGTATTTTTCAACCTGGGCTCTATTTCCCCATGTGTATGTGTGCGTATGATTCATGGGTACAGCTCGTTTTAAAATTGGTTCAGTATTGAGGGAGGCGGATGCAACCGGGAGCCGCGAAACGAGCTAAAACGGTAATGGGGGCAAATGCGTCCCGTATAAGTTTGCGCATTAAAAGTGCTTTTTTTCGCCACTGACCGGTTCAGATCACCAGTGCTATCTCTGTAAATAGCATACTAAACGTTTCCCTTACCCTTCACTTGCTCTGGGCTGTGACGTCATCTCGCGAGAGCTTTGCTTGTTGCCGGAAGAAAACAGAGGAGCCATGCTGAGCGCCGCTCAGAGTGGCGCTGGTTGTCCCGGAGTACAGTTGAGAGTTTTACTGCATCGATTGAAAACAATGGTTCGTGTTTGTGCTTATCCGAATTGCAAGAACAGGATGTCGCGCAACACCCCGTACAGCTTTCATAGGCTGCCTTTGTCGGACGGCGAGATGCTGAAGTTGTGGCTAGTTGTGCTACAAATGGATGCTAACACTCCTGTCCAGACACTGCGCCTTGCAGACCATCGGGTCTGCAGTGCTCACTTCTCCCAAGATGACTACTGCCAGCCGAAGAAGAGAAGACATCCAATCCCGAAACACCTCTTCCTCAAGAAAACGGCTGTCCCACGAGTAGAGAGAGCTACAGACACAGTGGAGCAGAGCTCGTGACATCACACAGCCCTGAGGTAAGGGAAAGGCTAAGTTAGCATGCTATTTACAGAGATAGCACTGGCGATCTGAACTGGTCAGTGGCGAAAAAACACACACTTCACACACACATACTCATTTACAATACCGAGCGGGGACAACTTCCACCTTTCTGCTCCAACACTGACTGACAGCTGACTCCACTCATTCACACTCACCACTGCCCCAGGGCCGCTACTATATGCTATTTACAGAGATATCACTGGTGATCTGAACCGGTCAGTGGCTAAAAAAAGCACTTTTATACTGGACGCATTTGCCCCCATTACCGTTTTAGCTCGTTTCGCGGCTCAATACTGAACCAATTTTAGAAGGAGTGGTACCCATGAATCATACGCACACATACACATGGGGAAATAGAGCCCAGGTTGAAAAATACAGAAGTTGTCCTTTAAGCCCTTTTCAATTATCTTACATCATCCCTCTCATAAAACTGTGTCTGTCTGGGTCCACTGTATGAGAACATTCAGTTTTCTGGTGGTCTCAATCCTGAATAGAAATTTGTCCTTGGTATATAATGAACCCTGATATTCTTGTGTCCAGACCCCCCACCCTCACTCACTCTGAATTTAATTAAGTATTCATTAGTCTGGCTATTAATTGGCAAAATTCAGATGAGGTCTGGAGAGGCTGATAGCATTGTACCAGCAAACAAATGGAAAAAACAATTCTGTTGAAGACGCTTTCAATTAGGGGAATCAACGACTCCATCTATATGACAGGTTTAAAAAAAGAAGAGTATGTCGGAGCTCTGTATTCATTCTCTCAAATTGTTGTAGTTCTGTTGAGGGTGTACACAGGAAAACAAAAATTGATGGAAATGGCGGTGTTCAATTAATATGTCAAAAACCTTGATTTGATATTGGAGATCAAACAGAGACTCATTACTAGTACTCGCACAGGCAGTTCTTCCAACCGGAGCCTCAATCATCTGTGGCTTTTTATAGAGATTAAATTAAACAAAGACCTCACAGAGGCTAAGAGAACAACAAATCAAAACAACATGTTCCCAAATCTAGAGGATATTTAATAAATCCTTTAAACACATGCACTCTAACCTGTTTGAAGCCAGCTTACTCACTCGAACTGCAACAGCTGCATCTTTTTTATACTGATTTGAACGTGTTGCTGATCTATGCTCTGTTATTGTATGTTTTATTACTGGCTTTATGGGATGTGAGGTGACCTTGAGTGCTATGAAAGGTTCCAATAAAAGGACGCTTTGGTGATTTTCAACTAGCTTTATGTCATAACAATGTGGATGTTGGACATGTGTGTAAATTAACTGTGGTAACTCCCCTCTATCTTACCAGCATCCAGATCTTCCTGCTCATTTGCCAGCCAAAATTTCACTTGCTCTAAGGGCTGCTGCTCGAACTAAAGATTGTACGTCTGCACTTCATATGCCTGCCTGTCTCTCTTGTTCTCTCATACTACGACCAAACTCAG